AATACTCGTAAGTCATACACATTTCAGTATAACTTACGATCAATTTTAATCGTAAGATTTTTTGTGAAAAGAGTCGCAGACGTAATTACCTAAATGAAGTATATTTCAAGTGGTGGTAAAAGTTTCAACCAGATCTTTGAAGCCAGAAATAAGAAAATTACACTTGTTTGAATTTCTCACTGTACGATCAGTCTCGCTTGTATATTTTGAAACTGTATGATCAGTCTTTATTTCACTGTATTCTAGTGGTGATTTCAAAGTTATTTACGATACATTAGAAGGTGGCATTTTTCTAAATAACACAAATATATTTCAATAAATTCACATCCTGAAAACTTATGAAACATGTTTTAGCTTGATGGGGTGTACTCGACTTACTACATTAAGTATAAGGATGTTTAAATGTTGCTAAAATAAGAGGAAGGTTTGTTGTATATATAAGTTTCAGAAATGTCCTCCGTTATACTTAAAATTGTACAAACACACAGATTTAATTGTTATATAAAAATGCATGTATTTACACACATTCGAGGCCGTACTGTAGCCTAAATTGATCACAGTTCCTTCACTTTGTTTTGGATGTAGAGCTGTCTCTTTGACACTCAATTGTACACCACTTTGTAAAGCGGGGGTTTATAGTGATAATGAAGTCCGTCTTTCCGTTGGACCGGTACAATATGTTTCGTCGGTTTTGTAAGTGCATCTCCTCATAAACCACTTAATATACATTGTGGGTTCCAGCCATTTTTAAATGGAGAGGGGGTCCAATCCAGGAGAAAAGGGATTCCAAATATATGTTCCCATACAAATGCCGTCTACAAAAATCATCAGAAATATATTTGTATTGTCTGATGAAAGAAATTACACGTTATAGTTCCCTGGACAGTTCATAATATCACATAGACACGTATATACCTTCAAATTGCCGTTGTTTCTTTTTCAAAATCACGACTGGTCATACAGTCAAAAAATCTGAAATCGCTTCTAGAATACAGTCAGTTCTAGACTGATCGTACAGTAATTTATTTTGGGATCCTCAAGGAAAACATATTTTTTATGGGAAATACGAATATTCTACTTAAATACGAAAAGAATATTGAAACAGTATATATTTAATTGTAAACTGATGCAAATATTTGCATTAAAAGATTATTTGCTTTGTACTACGAGAGCAAAATTGTCCATTGATTTCACTTTTCTATCAAGTTGGTGTGATGCACACGTATATTTTATATTCTTATGCATGTTTTTGTTACAGTTACTCATATTTATGATGCTATACATACCTTGAAGATGTTCAAAGCACTTTATAGATATAGGAGTAAACAAATGATGAGAAAAGTCACCGTAGGCAAAACCGTTCTGTTAGCCAGTTGGAAATCATCGCTTCGAAAATCGCGACTTCCAGATAGCGTACAGAATAGTATCTACACTGTGGATATAGGAAGATGTGGTATGAGTGCCAATGAGACAACTCTCCATCCAAGTTACAATTTATAAAAGTAAACCATTATAGGTCAAGGTACGGCCTTCAACACGGAGCATTGGCTCACACCGAACAGCAAGCTATAAAGGGCCCCAAAAAATTACTAGTGTCTTTTTATAATCATTAAGGTTTTCAAATCATTTCAATCATTTTATCATGGAATTTATTGTTTGCGATATTACTGAAAGAACTGTTATTTTTCAAAAATAATTTATAAACTCTTCTTTGATAATGCGATTGATTTGTTAAGCTAATTCCAAAATGTCTCTTGATATTTTTCATGTTCAGGGAAATTTGGTCACAGACTTCTTTTCATACCTTTTCCCTTTCTGTTTCACCATTTTCTAAATTTAGATGGAAATGAGTAAAAAGATTTCTATAGTATCCATTGTCAGGAAATATATTTACATGAAAACAGTATTTTAACAATGGTATATAGTTCATAACTCGAGTCTGAGAACCATGGTTTATAGTTTGACTGATCACTATATATAATCATTTGAACAAATGTAGTGAATGCAAGAGCAGTGTCACATAGTATGAAGTTAAATTTTTTCCACAGCTGTTTCATAGTTAGCTTGCTCGTCATTAACAAAAATCACATAGTCTCTGTTTCAAATCAGAACTTTAATTTTTTGTAATATAGCAACGAATTGCTTTTTTTATCCCAATTAATTTTGCCTGGTAATGGATCTAACTTAACCCTTTCATTGTTACATCTATGAAAACAGGTAAGTTAAAAATAACGGATGGGAAAATGGTCTGGAATTGGAGTGTAATATTTAACCATAAAGTTTCTAAATGCATTCTATCAAACTAGAAGACACCAGTGTGAAGTCAACAAGCTGACTACAGCAATTGTATGATAAACGTGTGCGTTTACCCATAGAGTCTCCGATTGTCCTTCCGTTTAATATTTTGAGTCCTGATTCTTGACATAAGTCAATTAATAATTCTCCACTCTTGTTCGGAATTTTCTGAACAAATTTTTTTCAGTATAATTTAGACTACATGGTAGTTGGGATAAACCTTAAAATATAGAACTTCTGACATACACAGTAAAACCGCCAGGCCCTCGTATGACTTTTTTCTCGTTTTTTTTTTAAATTGGAACCATTACGTAAAAAATCATATCCATTTTTTTATCAACAGGGGTTTACCACTCCATGTTTTAACAAAAATTACATTATGCATTTGTGTTACAACATTTACAAATTCATGTACATGTTCACTGATTTTTTTCTCAGTTGTCAGACCCTGAATAATCCGGATGCATGCCAATGTTTATGATGTTATCAAAAGAACTTAGTCTCGGCATTTTTTGATTCAAAAAAATATTCAAATTTTATCGACTAACAAATATAAGTTATAAGGTTATATATGCTGGGTAGTCCTATAATATCGGCGATAAAAATACGTTGACAGCAAACGATATGGGCCTATGGACCTACGAAGGCTTAGACTGATAAGAGGACTAATATGCTGGTATGATCCGTATAAAGCTAGTCAATGAAATCATGACTTAAATCAAGGATTTGTTTATCAAGATCTCTCTATACAAATCCTTGTTTAAATTTAACTTTAATTTATTGAAAAATAAACTATATTTTTGTTTCTTTCTTTTCTTCAAATGCTAATTAAGCATTTTCATGACAATAAAAAGAAAATTAGATCTTATAAATGTGCCAATAATATGAACAATAAAAAATATTTATGAACTAGATAAGTCACTATTTAGATCTGAGACTACTATAACACATGTGTTATAGTAGTCCTCATGAATGAAGAAAGGAAGATAACTCTACTTTTCTATACACATCAATTGATTATCTAAAATTTTAAAATTTTTGAAAATATATAATCCGAGATTACTATAATAACATGTGTAAAAAATATGCCAGAGGATAGCCTGGAAGTTCAGTTGTGTAGCTTAGTTTCTGTGAGCATTGTGCATATCGATATGTCAAGCAAACGTTGAATAATTACATTGTTTCGAGTTTGACCGTATGATTTGTTGTCACTACTATTTTCTAAGTAGAAGTACAAGTTGTCTCAGTGACTAGACAAATTACCAGCGTGGCATTATACTGGTTTATAAGCAAACGTTTTCGTCAATGAATAAATCTAATACTCCTGTCTGTTTATCGAGGTAATATGCTATGTCCGCTTAGACCGATACGATAGTCTACAGAAAAATGAGACAGTATAGAGTTTCAGAACTGTTGAGAAAGAGATAGATTATCCACATTCAAATTGTACTGTATAGACCCCTGTCAACCAGTTCTGATTGCACAAAGAACCTAGCTACGCCACTGAATTTCAAGACTAGTATAAAAAGAGCTGGAAGTTTCTCATTTGATGATAACACAGTATCATATAGTGATTATGATATAGATAACGTTGTTAAAAGTTTAGAAACTGATAGTTTAATCTAATAAACTGGTTTTCGATAAATATAATGAAGGCTAATCCTGACAAATTCAAGGCTATAGCCATTAAAAAAAAACCCAAATAAACATAATTTGACATTCAATTTAAATGGAAACAAAATTTCTTGTGAAGAAAATGTTAAACTTCTTGGAATAACTATAGACTCGGACTTAAACTTTAACAATCATATATCTGAAATATGTAAAAAGGCATCAAAACAATTAAATGTTCTAAAATAAATGGGTAAATATTTAAACAGGCTAGGTAGGTTAACAGCATACTACTCATTCATTCTTTCGAATTTTAACTATTGTCAAGTAATTTGGCACTACTGTAGCGAAAACATTCTTTTAAAATGGAAAAAATTGAAGAAAGAGCTCTTAGATTCATCTATGAAGATTATGATAGCTCATACGAAAAACTGCTAGAAAAGTCAAAATTACCTTCCTAGTCTTTATCTTCCTCCTCTAGCAGGAAAATAAGAAGAATAAAAAATATTGCAACAGAAACTTTTAAAATAATTCACAAAAAAAGTCCAAGCTATCTTCATGGTTTAATAGAATATATCAAAATTCAAAAGTATAATTTAAGATCACAGGAAACAGCAGTATCCCGAGAGTCAGAACCACCAGATATGGTTTAAGACCGTTTCGCTATAATGCTGCACAAATCTGGAATGAGCTGCCGAACCATTGTCGAATGGAAACATCTTTTGACGTGTGACTTTTTGATTTGTTTGGCTTTTTTAGTTGCTATTATCTGCTGTGCTTATCATTCTAACTTGTGCTTTGTTTTAATATATACTTTATTTTGCATACTATGCTTTCAACTTTTCAGATATGTCATCTATGGTCATCTATGGTATCTTACTATGCACTGTATGTTTAAAATTGTCTTGTTTTCATGACTTTTGTATGTGTGTATATATTTTGTTATTCAGTCGATTTGAAAAGCTCACTAGAGCTTGTGTTTGTGTAGTTTATAGAATATCGACTTTAAGTAAAACTTTGAACTTTGAATATTGAATATTGATCAATTGATCATGAGTTCCGTTTGACTCGTTTCTCTCCCTCATCCTGGTACTGTCCTTATCAGATTATGGCAAACACAATGTACAACTGTAAGGTTGTTTATTTTCTATCATGGTAATCGATGTGCATAATATTGTCATCATTATATCTTTGATATTACAACATGGAAGAGTTATATACGGCACACTCACGGAATAAACTGTAAGGTGTTATTGTGTTTATTTCGTAGAGTGGGGTGCCATATCGAACTCTTACCATGTTTACCTTACATAATAATAATTGTAATGACACAGCATCAACGTGATTGTATTTTTCCGTTGCTGATTAACGAAAGAAGAAGAAGAAGTCACAATACCCAAATTGCACCCATTTAGCAAAAATAGCAATTGAAATCTTTATAAGTTTTCTTAGAGACTAAACAATTTGTATTTTTATGATTTGACATTATGCACTTCTTTCAAAATATATTTCAATGCGCACAAAAAGTTCACAGTATATTTCAACAGATAAATTATTCACTGCAAAAAGTAAAATCTACAGAAACGTTGCCATGAGACGTCCACAAAAAGTCAATTTTTAAAAATGAGCATTTAAAATATACAGCTCAGGCATCCATTTCTTAAAAAAAAAAATAGAAAGCATGGACTATTGTCAAATTGTTCTAAATATTTGGAGAAATTAAACAAAACATCAGTTATTCAATTTTAATGGATGTGAATTTAAGCATGGATGCAAGTTGGGTACTCATTACAGAATCATGGATCTTTTGGGGGTCTGTTCAAACCTATTTTTCTATGATTCAATATGGATTCAAAATTAAATTGGTGGAACTTTATAGTAAATAAGGATACATCTACAAAATAAACACAGAATGGAAACTTTTGTCTGGACCCTAAATAAACGTAAGTGAAAAAATTCAAAATAGGTGCAATTTGGGTACCCTCACGTTACATCTTTTGTTCTCACGGAGGAAAATTCAGCGGACTCGGTTAGATAAGGTCTGAGGGTATGTGGGTGATCGTGTGTATAGTAAGGGTACACTTGGGACTATTATACTAATAGTCTCAGGGGTAAATTTTGTTTAAAAATGCATGTAAATGATAACAGGTAATGTATCATTGTATGTGATATAGCTTAATTGTAAGTTCCTATGGTCAAGTCAAGTAAAATTTAGCCAATTTGAACACCGTAAAGTAACATACAAATAACATAAGCTCTGATGATCTTTGGAATTGACATAAACACATATATGATCATATATAATAATAGGATTGATGGATGGCTGTTAAATGTCCAGCAGCAAGTTAATGCTTATTCAGGACAAGAAATTATGTACTGCAAAATCATTATGAATCCTGCTTTGTACAACACGACACACTGAGCTGGGTTTTTAATGTCTTACTTCACTAGCTGAAGGTAAGAGTCTGCAGGAAACATGTCACCTTACCTGGACATATAAGAGGGTGTTGATGGGGTTTACATAATAGAGAATAGTGGGCAAAAAGTGCAGAATAAAGTGCCCAGAAAATAATGAATAAAAAAAATATGCAAAATCCAGTCCTAGATAAAAATGTAGAGGCCTAATGGCCATTTGACAACGACCACCAGAGCATAAAATGTGCATAACTGTGTTTTCCATTTTGTAGTATTTTTCCAAGCAAGTACTCAAGTATCTTTCTGTAAAACCAACATTACTCGATTAGTAATTCTTCACCAAGTTGACGTCCCTATTTTTTTTTAAATTAACTGCTTCATATGTAATTATGGTATTTTTAAAAACTTAGCTTAATCCCTGATAAATAGATAATTTTTTATCTAACCAGATTTCTCCTGTATGACAAGAATAATGGTATGTAGATATACTGTGATTGAATGGATATAAATGGTCAGAACTGGAATTTTAATGGTAAGTATATTGAGTATGGTACAGTATTCGACCAGCGATTGATTCGACATTTGTTTTATTATAGTATAAATGTCTTGTCAACTGTATTCGATAGTATGATTTTGTCGATTCAATCAATTGTTGTACGAAATTAACATACTTCTTTCGTGTCAGGATATATCAACTCAGTCTAACTGTACGATCATTGTAATAAATTCTGTCAACTGTATATTCATATTATGAACGGAGCACGATCGTATCGATCGTATTCAATCGATACGATTGTGCCACGGTTGATCAATATAATCAACTCAGTCAGCTCTAAACTAATATTATAAATGGAACACGAACGTATCGATCGTATTCAATCGTTACGATTATGCCACGGTTGTTCAATACAATCAACCCAGTCAACTCTAAATTAATATTATATGAACCTAGCACGATCGTATCGATTGTGCCACGGTTGATCAATGTTATCACCTTAGTCAACTCTTTATTGATATTTTTAACCTAGCACGATCGTTTCGATCGTATTCAATCATGACGATTATGTCATGGTTGATCAATATTATCAACTCAGTCAACTCTGTATTAATATTATGAATGAAGCACGATCGTATTCAATCGTTACGATTGTGTCATGGTTGATCAATATTATCAACTCAATCAACTTGTATATTAATATCATGAATGGATCACAATCGTATTGATCGTATTGAATTGTTAAGATTGTGCCATTGTTGATCAATATAATCAACTCAGTCAACTCTATATTAATAGTATGAATGGAGCACGATCGTATCGATTGTATTCAATTGTTACGATTGTGCCATGTTTGATCAATATAGGAGCACGATCGTATCGATCGTACTCAATCGTTATGATTGTGACATGGTCGATCAATATATATAATCAACCCAGTCTACTGTATCTATATATAATTCTAAGAACACCAGTTTATGTTTACAGATTTCAATAAGATTTAAAGTCATGTAGTTGTTGAATTGTTTCTTCTTGTTGGATACATGTGGTTGTCTCATTGGCAATCATACCACATCTCCTTATTTGTATATAAGTATCAATAATAGACAAGAAATATATCAAATATACAAAATAAGACCACAAAAACATGTATATTTACTGTTGATTGGAACCCAAAAATTAATTAATTCTAATTATTTTTTACATTAATTGAGTCTGTAATTGGCAAGTATTCAACAATAGAATTGTGTCACGGTTGATCAATATAATCAATTCGATCAACTGTATCTTCAGATTATAAACAATAGTATACGATTAATAAACTTAGTCAATTCTGTTTTGTGTAAGACAAGAAAAACAAGGACACAGCACTACATGGTGTATTTAATACAGCCTTACCCTAACCCTAACTCTATCTAAACCTAACATAACTCTAACCCATGGACACAGCCTACAGCACTAGGTGGCAAATTGACACAGCCTACAGCGCTAGAAGGAACATTGACACAGCCTATAGTGCTAGATGGCACATTGACACAGCCTACGGTGCTGGATGGCATATTCAATATAGCCTGACCCTAACACTAAACAAAGGACACAGTTTGGGCGCTAAGCGGCATATTGAAACAGCCTACGGCTCTAGATGGCATATGTAATACAGTCTTACTCTAACCCTAACTCTAATTATAACTCTAACCCTAACTTAAATTTAATACAAGGACACAACCTACAGCGCTTGAAAGCACATTGGCACAGCCTACGGCGCTACAAGGCACATTAGCACGCATTGACACAGCCTATGGCGCTAGAAGGCACATCGGCACGCATTGACACAGCCTACGTCGCTAAATGGCATATTTAATACAGCCTTACCCTAACCCTAACTCTAACCCTGACACAAAAACATAGCAACGGTGCTAGGTGGCATATTGACACATGCAACGACACAAAAAGGCACATTGAGCTAGACAGCCTACGGCGCTAGATGGCACATTGATACAGCATACGGTGCCAAATGGCATATTTAATACATCCTTACACTTACCCTAACTCAAACCCTAACCTAAATATAATACAAGGACACAGCCTACGGCACTAGGCGGCACATTGACACAGCGTATGGCTTAGGCAAGCAGTATCTCGTAAACATTTTTGTTTTACAATGTATAAGTGTGGATAATAAAAGAATCATGCAGTGCACAAGATGGATTTTGATGCTGCATGTCGTTTATTTGTCTTCTTGTCAACCGTCAACTTGTTAGCTGTCAACCTGTCAACTGTCCACCAACTTCTAACTCAGCAACTGTCAACCTGACAACTCTCCACCATATTTAACACGACAACTGTCAACTTGTCAACTGTCATACCTCAGTCATAACTCAAACATGAATAATTTAATGTTTAATTAGATTTACACCGAAGAACCCAATTATGAATCAACAAATATTTGGAGGAATTATTTCTTAATTATACTATAGTTGATCCGATACAACAGTCGGTAGCTAAACTGCAAATGGCTACGAATTTCAGTGATAGAATGCTTTAGCAAATAGTCCCTCTCAAACCGGTGTTAGGGATCGTCTTGGAACTTGCATTGAGGTGAGAATGTTTCTTCGGTGTTGAAGATCTCACTGCAACTTTAAAGATGAAGAACAGCGATAAAGCGCTCTTCCGTTGTTGCTATTTTTGACATGTGCACATAAAGTGCACAAATATATTTGAGTTTCAAGTTGATTGGAATAATGTTTGGTGAATTATGCCCTTTAGAAATAGCATGAATCATAAAAATATCCAGGAAACCAGTATGGGACATAGTATTGCACCCGCAATACTCATTCACCTGTTGATAATGCCTCGCTGCTGTGCATCTTCAATGGCACAGTTGTGGCGTTGTAGACTTTAGTAAAGAATTCCGCTCAAACCGGTGCTATGGAACGTCCTGAAACTTGGGTTGAGGTGAGAATATTTTCTCTGTGTTGAAAATCTTTCAAACAGCAAATAAATAAAAACGCTATTCATGCACAGCAAATTTTGTAGTTGTTTTAATTTTGTGTCCTTGTTATGTTCACCATATCCGTTCTTACACATTATATGACAGAGTTTGTCTCTTGTGCAGTGTGGAGGTCGAATAAATCTTCCCCGTGCTTGAGTTGTATATATAGTACTAATCATATTTAATAATTATCGATCGTATTGAAAGTTACCATAAACAAATAAACAAATTGAGTTGATCGATTCGACATATAATGTTCAATTGTTATCGATCATATAAATAGTTACGATCGAGTCTTCATCATACACAAATTGAGTTGATTGAATCAACAAATGATGTTCAATCGTTATTGATCGCTACGATTGCGTAGAAGTAATAAACAAGCAGTGAAGGTTGATTAGACAGATGTTGTTCAATCGTTATCGATAGCATCGATTGTTGCTATCGAGCAGTGGTAATAAACAAACTGTGAAGATTGTTTCGACAGATGTTTTCAATCGTTATCGATAGTTACGATTGAGACTTCGTCTTAAACAAATTGGGTTGATTGATTCAACATATGACGTTCAATCATTATCGATCGTATCTATCGTTACGATTGTGTCATCATCATAAACAAATTAAGTTGATTGATTCAACAAATGTTATTCAATCGTTACCTATCGTGTCGTTCGTTAAAGATTTGTTGAATAAATCGATCGTTAAGTTGTCTATTCAATAAATTTTTTTTAACTGAATTGAATTAAAGAATGAAGGAAAAATCAACTGTTGTCGAATCAATAGATTGTCGAATACTGTACCTTCATGAGTACATTTTGTTTTTTATGATGAATTTTAGTTTCTTGAAATACAGCCAGGGGTACTACAAGTAATTTTTATTTACTTGAAGAAGTAAATATTAATATACTTATATAAGTAAATTTGTAGGATACTTATACAAGTGTATTTTATTTACTTTTATAGGTAAATAATTTTTTGGCTTAGTTATGTCCCTTAGACATTCAGATTTTTTTACTTATACAAGTAAAAAAGTCATCCTATCTTCTTTTCTTGAATTCTTAGGAATTCTTTGCTCTAATAGAATTTTTAATTGTCTGTCCTTTGCAGATGTCTTTACTAATCATTTAAGTGTAATTTCATGGACAATGAAAATCTCATTTGTCTGTTATCTTCAGAACACTGCTCATTTACAAGCCCCTAGGGGCAATTTTTGAAGGCCTTGCACAAATACTTTAAGATCTTTGTGCAATCAGTTTCTTTCTTGAATTAATGAGATTAAACATTAAACTCTAATCAAAAATTATGAGCTAACCTGAGAAAAATTGTGAAAGGCATGTTTTTACATCTCAAAACTTGAGAATTTTTGTGGGATTGTAAAAAAAAATGAACAGAATTAAAAACCAAACAACATACACAAATCAGCATATAGGTTTTGGAATAAACATAGAAACTATTCAATATGTCAAGCTTTAAATCTTCTAATGTCTAAAAAAGTTGAAGTAGAGTATAATATATAAACATAATATAGGTATAGACACAGAAAATATTATATGTAAAAAAAATATTTGATTTTAAAGAAGGTTTTACAGAGCTGTAGAAGGACAAAACTAACAATGTCAGCTTGAATAAAATGACAACATATTAAAATCTTTTAAGTCCTGATCAAAATCAACATACATGTAAGCAACATTATACTTCCAATGTACAAAGTTATAATTTTTAACAGGGTTGTCTGAAGGAAATAAAAGTAATAAATTTGGTGAAGTACAGTGGGCGGGCGGGCAACAAGTGGCAATAACTTATGAACTGTTCAATCAATGCTTTTCAAATTTTTATATGTTGATACTAATGACAAAATGGAGGTCAAGTACGATATTGATAATTTTCACTTTTATCGTTCAGGAGTTATGGTCCTTGATTAATTGGAAAATAGGACTTCTTGTCATTTCTGTTCAATAACTTATGAATACTTCTACCAATGGTTTTCAAAATATAATATGTTGTTACTGATGACAAAATGGAAGTCAAGTTCAATATTGAGGATTTTCAATTTCACTGTTCAGGAGTTATGGTCCTTGATCTATTAGAAAATGGCACTTTATTTTTTTTAGTTTGCAATTACTTATGAACCACTTGACCAATGCTTTTGAAATTTTAATATGTTGTTACTGATGAAAAAATGGAAGTCAAGTTTGATATTGACGATTTCCATTATTGTCGTCCAGGAGTAATAGTTCTTGATAGATTGAAAAATGTGACTTTATGTTGTTTCCGTGCAATTACTTTTGAATTGTTCAACCAATGCTCTTCAAAGTTTAATATGTTACTGATCATGATGACAAAATGGTGGTCAATTCTGAAATTGACAATTTTCATTTTTTTATCTAAATTGATTTGTGTATTTTACTTTCAGACTATGGCCTGTTGTAAACAACACTGAAGTAAACAAACCAGAAAATGATTCCGAAATGGTGGTGTCTGATGATTGTATTTTCAGCCTTTATGATTCAAGTGATATCATTTGGTACAGCGGGAGCCATTGGATTGTACAATATAGAATTTATAGAATACTTCAACGTTGGAGCAGCTGAAGTCTCCTTGATTGGTTCCATTAACCTTGGTGTTTTCCTAGGAGCAGGTATATTGTGAAGGAATTTTTTAAAGATAAAACTGAAACATATATTCACTTTTTAAAAATTTTATAGGCAATTTGAATCAGTTTAATTTTTCAGTGTATGATGTATAACATCAAAAGCATGAAAAGGACTGGTAGAAGACTTCAACACCTAGACAATAGAATTTTAACCCATTTGATCAAGGTCAATGTGAGCTTTTGACGTCTTTTGTTTATAAACTTTTTTTTTCAAATATGTTCTCATATTAAAATAATGAACCAATTGAAATAAAACTTCACGGAACTGATCCTTAGGATCTCTAGTTTAAAGTGGATGTTGAGTCAAATAACCAACATGTCCACCATATAAAAATAGAATGTAAGGATAAAATGCAAATAATTAAAAAAATAAAAAATAAAAGGTACAGAAAATTTTATGTGTTTCAAAAATGTTTTAACTAACTGCCCTTCATATCCTTATAGGACATATTGCCCATTGATTGGAGATTTTTCACTAACTGTAGTGTTTTTGCCTAGCCTGTTATCTTAAAAACTAGCAATTATCTTGCAAGTACTTTTGTGAGTTACTTAATTGACATTTATACTTGCGAGTCCTTTTGTGAGTTTGCTTAATTGACATTTATACTTGCAGGTCCTTTTGTGAGTTTACTTAATTGACATTTGTACTTGCAGGTCCTTTTATGAGTCTGCTTTATTGACATTTATACTTGCAGGTCCTTTTGTGAGTTTACTGATGAGACATTTAATTGCAGGTCCTTTTGTGAGTCTGCTTTATTGACATTTATACTTGCAAGTCCTTTTGTAAGTTTACTGATGAGACATATTTAATTGCAGGTCCTTTTGTGAGTTTACTAATGAGACATATGAGTTACAGAAGAGTAGCTGTCATTGGGAGTTTACTCAGTACTATTAGTTTGCTGTGTGTTCCATTTTTAGATAATATCATCTATCTGTATATTATATATGGAATATTTACAGGTGAGGGCAATAATACGATGATCACATTAATGTTCACTTCATTTGTGATGTCACTATGATGTCATTAACTTGTCAAAATTGATCCATATAAACCAAAAAGAAATTGTACTCGCAGGATTGAAGATAAATTGCTGAAAATGTATTTTTGATTAAGATGTTACTCATATTTTAAAATTAATGAAAAAGTCTCAAATAAGCTATTGGCAGTTTTTGCAATTTTCCTGTAAATAGATTTATTTGTCAAATAGGGATTATCATTCTTTGAGTAATAATTGAAATTATAACATGATATGAAAGCAATATAGAATTTGCTTCTGTTGCGATTGCATGGAAAATATTTTGGCTCTTGATATATCCCCGTTTTTTAACAGGTTTAGGATTTGCTATGGTATACCTACCATCAAGTGTGTTAGCAGGCCTGTATTTCAATGAACATCGGAGTCTTGCTACTGGTATTGCAACAAGTGGATCTGGCATAGGAGCAGTAATATTTCCATTATTAGTACACAGTTTGATCCAGTATTATGGCTGGAAGGGGTCAGTTTTCATCCTTGCTGGACTCAGTTTACAATGCATTGTATTTTCTGCTTTATTATTTCCACTGGCAGAAATACCAAACAGGGGAGAACTGATGTCAGTGTTGACAAACAGCAATATACATGACAAACAAACAAATAATCATGAAATTGACCACATGATGACCAATGGTAAATGTGAGAATTACAATGGTCACATAAGTATATCAGAGAATGACAAAACAGTTCAGGAAAATGGTGAAGTCACAAAATTAATGGAAAATTTTGAGCCTGAAGCTGAAAAAAGTTTAAAGCATTGCTATGTTTTATGTGATTTTTCTTTCTTTATTTTCTTTCTTAATAACATACTTTGGAACATGGGAGTTGCAATTTCTTGGATCCTTGCTCCAGAGTACTTTGTATCAATGGGATTGACCAAAGAAAATGCAGCTACTATTTTAACATTTGGTGGAGTTGGTTGTTTCATTGGTTGTATAATTGGTGGAGGACTGGGAAACATACAAAGCCTAAGTAGATTGTCTATGTATATATCATGGAATATTGCAGTAGGAATATTGATAATGTTCTTGCCATTTAAAATTTTTCAATCAGTTGAAATTTTGTCATTGATAATGTTTTTAAATGGACTTGGATTTGGAGGAATTTTAGGACTACTAGTCATTTTTACAGTTGATCTGCTGGGTGAAAAAGCTTTGGGTGATGCTTTTGGATATTTGATGCTCAGTAATGGTGTAGGATCTATTATTGGTCCACCACTCGGAGGTGAGTAAACCTATAGAGCTATTATAAGTCCATTAATTGAGGGTGGACTATCTACAAGTTTGAGATTTATCTACCATTAAAGGATGGTTACTTTATAAAAAGATTTTATTAGGCCATTCTTATAGTTAATTACTTTAAAGAGCATTTTTTTCCCACATTCAGAGATGAGTTAACATACAGATCTTTTGTTAGTTCACATATTGACACCCCTAAACAAATATGACAGTCGCCTTATAATTTCCCAAGATTGAATAGACTGTTTGGAAGCTTCAATTAAATAGATTTATAATTGTATTATGAAAAAAAGTAGCACATACATGTAGGGGTCTTAAGATATCCTCCAAAGTTCCAACTCGACTAATGAAATTCATCTCCTTAGAAAAGCATAATAAAAAACATAAGAAATAGCAAATCTTAAAACACAAAAAAAGTGTTGTAAAGTTTGAATGATTAATGTTGTTTATATTTAGTGTAAGCATATTTTACAATTAATTCAAGTCATACATAAACATATGACATTTATATTTTCAGGAGCATTTAAAGACATCCTTGGTACTTATGATCCCACATTTTTCTTTGCTGGTACATTGATTGTTGTTGCTGGATTATTGATGTTCCTAATACCAATAAGAGACAAGTTTGTTCCCAGACCAAAGAAAACTGCAATAGGACTGACAATAGAAGTTAATCTCAAAACATAACAGATGATAATGATCTCAGTGTACCCTACTTAACTTGATATTTATCCAGGTGTTTTGTGAACATTTATTATTATTTATTTAATGCTGCTTAGTTAGATGAGACTAAAATTGTTAACATACAATTCATTTGTTTCCTCTATTTCTCATTTAATCATTTGAATTCATGTTCAGCATTTATGATTTTAATAATGGCATAATGAGCATTTTTATGCCTCCACCGTAGCGGTGGGGGCATTAAGTTTTACCCTTGTCCGTCTGTACGTACGTACGTACGTCCCAAAATTGGTTTCCGTTCACTAACTTGAGTTTGCCTCAACCAAATGTTATGAAACTTATACACAATGCTTATTACCACAAAACACAGATCAAGTTTGAATTTTGGTGGCTTCACTATAACCGTTCTAGAGTTATTCCCCTTTATAAATGGAAAAATTGCAAAATTTTTAGTTTCCGTTCTCTAACTTAAGTTTGCCTCAACCAAATGTTATGAAACTTATACACAATGCTAATTACCACAAAACAAAGATCAAGTTTGAATTTTGGTGGCGTCACTTTAACCGTTCTAGAGTTTTTCCCCTTTATAAATGGAAAAATTGCCAAATTTTTATTTTCTTCTAAATATCAAGTAATTTTTAAAATTGGAGTTATCTTCCTTTGTCCATGATTATAGTTGAATCAACTACAATCAATGCTTTATACAATGGAATGTTTAATTTTGACTTCCACTGATAAAACACAGATCAAATTGAATTTGGGTAGTGTCACTTTAACCATTTTTGAGTTATGCCCCTTTATAAATCGAAAGATTGCAAAATTTTTAGTTTCCATTCAGTAACTTAAGTTTGCCCCAACCAAACATTATTAAACCTATACACAACATTCATTACCACAAAACTAAGATCAAGTACAAATTTTTTGTTTCCGTTTTCTAACTTTAGTTTGCCTCAACCCAATGTTATGAAACTCATACACAATGCTTATTACTACATAATACAGATTAAGTACAAAATTTGGTGGCGACACTTTTACCATTCTTGAGTTATGTCCCTTTATAAACATAAAAATTGATGAATTTTTCATTTCCGTTCTCTAACTTTAGTTTGTCTCCACCAAATGTTATAAAACTTATACACAACCGTTCTAGAGTTATGCGTGTTTACAAATAGAAAAATTGCTGAATTTTTAGTTTCTGTTCTCTACTTAAGTTAGCTTCAACAAATGTTATGAGACTTACACACAATGCTTATTACCACAAAACTCAGATCAAGTTCAAATTTGGGTAGTGTCACTTTTACCGTTCTTCAGTTATGTCCCTTTATAACTATATGATATGCAAGCAGGGGCATCATCTGTGTCCACATGTGGACACTATCCACATTTATTTAATTTAAAATAGTTGGTATCTTGCTCTCCTCTAAGTTATATATTTCAAAAGCAGTTATAAACTTAAGAAAGTAATTTTGATACATATTTTAATGAAATTTTTGATATTAATACAATGTTTCTTTACTTCTCATCTAAATAGTTTGGTCCCACAAGAATTATTGGACTTTTAATCTCCAAAAACTATGGAAACAGTAAACAACTTTTTGGAAATGTCCCTTCTCTTATATATGCTCGGGAATGGAAGGAAATTAACACAGTTGTTTATCATCATGTATACCTTCTTTGTCAAGTTTGGATTAGTTCTGAGGAGTTATTGGACTGATAGCTTTGTTCAGTCATTTTTCTAGATCAGTTAAAACTATAAGTGACCTACTGATATTGACACATTTAGATCAATTTATCTATTGAAGATAATGCTAATCTTTCTAAAGAATTGCTGTAATTCAACTATCTATATATATAGTTGTGCCATGTCAAGTGTTTTTGTATACCACCACCATACCTCAAAATACATAAAATGAAATCCTACCATCCTACCTGAAAGAATAAATATGATTTAATAGAAACTCTTCCAATCTTCCAAACATTGATTTTGATGTCTTTGCTTTATTATGTATTTTACTTCAGCGACATATGGCTTAGATAGGCAAAGCTAGTATTGGTCAACATTGTACCTCTGGGTTTTTTCGGAGGAGTAGGGTGTTGGTTGTTGGTGGGGTTGGTTGTTCTAACCAATATTTTAAGTGACTCCTGTTGGTTTTTTATGTACTATGCAGTTTCATTTTGTATCAGTCTCAAGTTTTTTTTCATCCATTTTACAAGTAATTTTTAGAGAGCTCTAAGCATGTACTTTTTTTAGGACAAATCAAGTGATACATTCTAGATAGTAAAATGGGTATGTTTGTGCGCATGTAAAATGGTTTAACCCCTCTACATTTTGTTTCTGTACCCAGTCAAACAAGCTATCTCAGCCATGTGTTGTTCCTTGTTGTTTTTCTTTGTTTGTATATAGATATAGGAAGATGTGGTATGAGTGCCAATGAGACAACTCTCCATCCAAGTTACAATTTATAAAAGTAAACCATTATTGTATATCTGTTTGTTGTTTTTGTTTTGTTATTAGGAAGAGTCTTGTGTTGGTGGCTGATGTTGTCTGTTGTGCTTCAGTATTGTTGGTGGCTGATAATGTCTGTCGTACTGTCCAGTTTTGTTGGTGGCTGATGTTGTCTGTTGTGCTGTCCAGTATTGTTGGTGGCTGATAATGTCTGTTGTACTGTCCAGTATTGTTGGTGGCTGATGTTGTATTGTCCAGTATTGTTGGTGGCTGATGTTGTCTGTTGTACTGTCCAGTATTTTTTGTGATATCTGTTATCCTTTTTATGTATTTTGACTATCTTTGATTGAGAAGGTGGTCATCAAATCCCACCTCTATTGCTTTTATATTTATAAGGGCATTGTCAAGTAGAATAAACTTGTAATTTGTTTGTGAATGAAATTTGTTGGTAAATAATTTAGTTACTAGCAGTCAATAAACTTTGTCAGTTTAACTTACATTATTACTGCTATTAAAACAATATTGTAACTTTCTTCTATCTTTTCTTGTAATACTTGAAGGTAGGAAAAGAACATATTTTATTATGAGTTTGATTGTAAATTTTAAGTTTATGATTGTTTTTATACTGGAACTAAAGTTTCAGACAAGTTTCAACCCTTAGGCACTTTTGGGTGTTATTTTTTCGAAAAACTTGAAATACTGATATTGTACATTGTTGCATAGTCATCAATTAAATTGCACTGGTTTATTTTTATGTGTTAGTCTGTTATCCTATTTTTTAAGCAGAATTTAAGTCTACATTGCTGTTTTAGTGATTTTGAATTTTTTATAGTGATCAACTATTATTTTTCTAATTATTTTTTTACGTTTTATAACAAACTAATACTATTGGATAAGTGTTTAGTATGCTGTTCCATTAGCAGTTGTAATTAGAACATAAAGAAGTCAGGTAGACATATTTTTTCTGTAAAAAAAAAAACCTTTAAATGAATTGTTTCATCTGTTTTTGCTGTAAAAAATAAAATAACAAAAATACCAAACTCAAAGGAAAATTCAAAACGGAAAGTTTCTTGTCAAATGGCAAAATAAAAAGCTCAAACATATCAAACAAATGGAAAACAACTGTCATATTCCTGACTTAGTACAGGCATTTCCTTATGTCTCTTTGACACATTCCCCGTTTCCATTCTCAATTTTATTAATAGCATGAGTGTTGAAATAGTCCATGGATGGGGAAAGGAAGATAACTTTACTTTTCTATGCACATCAATTGGCTATTTTAAACAGGTTTGAAAATATATACAACAGGAGTTTATTATAGGACGTGCACAACATGTGTCAGAAGAAATTCTTGACATTCAGTTGCATAGCTATGTTCTGCATGCAGTGTACATATCGATATGTCAAGCAACATATGTCAGAAGAAAGCCTTGACGTTCAGTTGCGTAGCTAGGTTCTGCATGCAGTGTGCATATCGATATGTCAAGTAACATGTGTCAGAAGAAAGCCTTGACGTTCAGTTGCATAGCTAGGTTCTGCATGCAGTGTGCATATGGATTTGTCAAGCAACATTTGTCAGAAGAAAGCCTTGACGTTCAGTTGCGTAGCTATGTTCTGCATGCAGTGTGCATATAGATAAGATATATTTTTGCTGTATGTTTTAATTGGTATCAATGAAGCATATTGTTTAATATTCTGCAATTTATTCTGTAATTTTTATGAAAGTCCTATTATGTAGGAAACAGTAACTGTATGAACTTGTACTATACTAGTCTGAAACCTATTCATAATTGAGGCAAATAAATTTTAATTCACAATTGCATTTAATTAAGTAAAGTAAGAACAATTACAATGATATGATTTTTCTAGAAATATTGTATTACTGTCATTTGAATATTTGATAAACAATTTGAAATTCATGTTTATAATTTACCAGTTTATAGTAAAAATCCACTGAATAATCCACATCTAAATGTCGTCTGCCATTTAGGCCATGCGGTCATCACACTTGGTTGAATCCAATTTTCACTTTCAGTTGATTGTATATCGATAACGATAACGTCTCTGTATTGCAAAATTTACACATTCCATAATTACTTCTATCTGTCATTATATGTTGATTTTTGAATCGAAATGTCTTGTATTTTCGTGAAGATCCAACTTTACCAACTGTAGTGACTTCACGCATCTTGCTTGAATTTTATGAATGAAATGTACTTACATGCTTAGTAGAACCCATGTGTCACTTGGAATCGTTTTTCAATAAATACACTATTTTTACGTTTCTTCAACTGTTTTCACTAAATCTTTGTAATTACTTATGGTATTTGTGAACATCGTCTTCAATATTTTGTAGATGTTAATAATCACTATCCTTGATATTTATCATTTTGGTCCGCCGGTGACACATATGCTTTTTGCAACATTGTTTACGTATTGTGACTTCCAGTAGAGTTGTATTTTTAGTTACCATAGAAATTTGTTCAGTACCATGTAAAATGTGTTTATTATATAACTGTTACTAAAATTGTATATAATTATGATTTTTGTAATTTATTATAAGAATTCTAATATTTAGTTGGACAGCAAGCGCACGATCCAACAATTTTCCAACAGTCCAACATTGACGTTATTTTGACGCTCGTTTGGCAGTTCTGCTTAAATCTTTGGTCGTTACAGTAAGTATTTTATTTTGCTCGTCATTAATTTTAGTCAAAATGGTTAATTTTTCTCACAAACTTCATTTTTTTAAGGTTAGATTGTAAAGGAAAATAGTAAATTTATTGTTTTCTAAGTTAGAAAGGAATATTTCATTTTTAGCGACTCTTAGGAGGCGGACCCCTATATTTTTGATCTTTTGCTTAAAGTATTTTATTCTTTTGGTAACTTTAGGAAAGTTCTAAAAATTGTTTTAAAATATCTTTTGGGTTAATTATCATATTATTGCTGGCAAAGTTTTATAATAAGTTATCTTTTAAAGTTAGGATTATTGTAATTGTACATTTGAATTTAATATTGTAGTTCACATTTACTGTTAACCTTTGTCTTTTTCTAATAAATTGAATTAGATAGGAAAACATTTGGCAATTAAGGGATAATTTCCTAAAGGTCTTGAAATTATAATAAACAAAACAGTTTATTTAAGGTATAAACTGTATTTCATTGTTAGTTATTATTCGGGAAAGGTTCTGAATATAACTAATAATAATAAACATTTTTTTTATACAAATATGTCAGAAAGAGGTCTTCTGACAAAATTCACTTGAAATTATTATCTATTTTTATGCAAGTTATTTTCTTGGTAATATAGCAGGACTCAGCCTTTAATGTATTTTTCAAACATACCAACATACATTTATTGGTAATAGCAAGTGTTATTTTTTATTAGAATTGCACAGACAAAGTTATCCTGCAATCATATCATTAATATTTATTATCTCTTGAGTGTAGAGATAAATTATTACATGTATACTGAATAGATTCTTGTCACATCATCTAAAAGTCTATAATTTAATTATCTTACTACTTAAAATTGTTTGTTGTTTATGCTGAATATTAATTAAAATATCTGATTCTCGAAATGAATAAAATATGGAAACTTATATATGTTACTTTTAACAAATGCCTATATTATACTGACCAGATCATATCTTGTCATACTGACTTAGCAATCTACAAAACTACTCATAAAATTTGAATAAAACTTTTGGTCAAACATTTCAAGCCCTTGCCCGCTACAATATGTCAGAAGAAAGCCTTGACGTTCAGTTGCGTAGCTAGGTTCTGCATGCAGTGTGCATATCGATATGTCAAGCAACATGTGTCAGAAGAAAGCCTTGACGTTCAGTTGCGTAGCTAGGTTCTGCATGCAGTGTGCATATCGATATGTCAAGCAACATATGTCAGAAGAAAGCCTTGACGTTCAGTTGCGGAGATAGGTTCTGCATGCAGTGTGCATATCGATATGTCAAGCAACATGTGTCAGAAGAAAGCCTTGACGTTCAGTTGCGTAGCTAGTTTCTGCATGCAGTGTGCATATCGATGTCAAGCAACATATGTCAGAAGAAAGCCTTGACGTTCTGTTGCGTAGCTAGGTTCTGCATGTAGTGTGCATATCGATATGTCAAGCAACATATGTCAGAAGAAAGCCTTGACGTTCAGCTACGTAGCTTTGTTCTGCATGCAGTGTGCATTTCGATATGTCAAGCAAACATTGAACTATTGAATTGTTTTGAGTACTGATGATTTGTTGTCATTACTATTACTAAGTAGAAGTACAAGTTGTCTCGTTCAACGCAAAAATCAGTAAAAATATCTTTCTCCATATTCTATGGAGCTTTTTTTTTTACTGATTTTTGCGTTGAAAATGTGTTCAAGAAGATCTGCTAGTTATTTTATATATTAAGGCATTTCAAATATTTTTGCAGCGATAAAGCCAGCACAGGAATTAAAAATAGTCCAAAAACATAGATATAATTGTCTGGTAGGTTCAGATTATCTAAGCCAGTTAAGATCGTTTCAACAAAAAATACAGATATATCATGTCCAAGCAAAATGTCAATGAAATCCGGAGACAGTTGTCTTTTCTTCAGTCCACAAACATTAAAGAAACAAAACTTTAAGCTACCTTTGTTCAATTATATTCACTATTTACACTTCCATTACTGGTCGATTTCTTTTTAGATATAGGCCTCTTGCACCAACCGCCTATCTGCCAGAAGTCGGTGGAGCATTTGCGTTCGGTGGACGAGGGGACGGTCCCTGTCGCTATCTTTTGCTAGGTGGGGTAGCACTAGAGTAAGACCTTTTTGTGGTCGTGTCATGATTTGTTGACGAAGAGCTGGTACGCTCTGTTCTAGATTCGTCGAATACAGTGCCATCAATAAAGAGCTGATTGTCTAAGACGAATGATTAACTTTAAATATTTCTGATTTGAAAACAAATTGCATCCGATTACCAATGAATAAAGTTGTACTTTATTGTATTTGTTTGTTTCTATATTATTTAAAAGAAATTGTAAAATACAGAAATTCATAATAAAAAAACATGTTACAAATTAATAAATTACATTTTACAAATTAAGAAATTGCATGTTACAAACTAAGAAATTGCATGTTACAAACTAAGAAATTGCATCAAGTTAACAAATTAAGAAATGTATAATTATGGCGGATATTTCCTTCCATATAATTAAGTTACATACAATATTCTAAAGAAAACTATAAAATTCTAAGGCTAGTTTATATACAATATATTTACTTTGTCGGAAAATGTAAAATGTATTTTTATTAGCTTTAGAAACAGGACGACAATGTACATATATTGTTTTTATCTTACAATTAACACCCGGCAATGAAGCTTTAATTGTTTATAAATTCCACATCATTGTCTCTGATTTAAAAAAAACCAACTCGAAATCAACAGTTTAAACGCAGAGCTCGAAGGGGAGCCCAAATGAACTGTTACGCTAAAGGACATATCCGGATTGTCGCTTGCTCAACATTGAATATATTTGTGAATAATTCTACAAATAAAGAGAAAAAAGACCAAATATCAGCAACGAACAGAAGAGGAGAGTCTAAAACACCACCGAACACCCTAAAAAGGAAAGGAAAATTCAAAGAAGTCCTAAATGGCATTGCAACGCATGGTACCACTATGACTGCCAACAATTTTCACTACCAGATAGCAGCTTCTCAGTAACATCAAACGGTTGCACGTTCTGTTGTTTGAACTGCTTGAGAGAAGAAGTAGTATGACCCTACTGTTATTCGTCTGGTTTACTTCGTATTTATTTGAACTTTATATGTTTTAATCTACATCTATAATTAAGATGGGCATAGGAAATTTGAGCGAAAATACAAAATGCACATAGGGTCATTTGACGCCGACATCATAGGACATTTTAGCGCCGGAATATCAACCTTACCTGGATTTTCAAATAGGACGTTTGAGCGAAATTTCCTGTGATACTTTTATATGAGTAAAGAAAATATTTTTAAAAAGTAAGAAAAAAGGAGAAAGTTTTGAAAATAAATATATTTTATTTGATTTTTATACCCGAGTAATTCTACCGGTTCTGAGTAGTTAATGGTAGTGGAATCCTGAGTTGATCTCTACTTATCAATCAAACCTCATAGCCAAACAGACAAGGAGAAGGAACAGAATCTCCTGGACTTCCATTCGCGTTACTGCAAGCAGGAAATAACGATGTATTTTTATGTGAGAAGCCTAGGATATAAATTTCAAGCCCGAAACTGACTTGTAAATAATGCCATTGCTGGGTTTTAAGTTTTATGACATTGCTTTGTATTTTTTTAAATTACAATTAAAAGATTTTAAAATTTTGTGCGTTATAAACTCCACATTTTATTAACTATATCTTGCTCGAAATCCTACTTCCGCCTCCCCGTGGTGAGCAAGGGTAAGTTAAACATATTATACTGGTCTGGCAAACGGAAGAGGTACTCCATCAATCTTAAATTTCTTTTGCTCAAATGTCCTATGCTTATTTTTTATTTTCGCTCAAATGTCCAAAGATTTCGACGCTCAAATGTCCTATACGTTGGCGCTAAAACGTCCTTACAATTTAATCTTTCAAATGTCCATTGACATCAAAATCCTCAAACATCAAAATAAAAATCTTTTCTTCAATAATTTTATATTTTTCAGTTATTCTTTGTTAATTAAGATTAATCATGTTAAGTGAATCTACGTTGAATTTGTTTAATCTGTTTATCACCGACGCGTGTCAAGTTGTAATTGGTTTATTTCTGTTTTTTTTATTGTTAATTGCGATTAATCATGATAGGTGATTAACTGATTAAGTTTATTCTGTTTATCACAGACTCGTGTAAAGCTTTAATTGATTTATTGTGTACAGATTTCATTATACATCTTTTTTTTTTTGGAAAATATCTCTATTTAGAAAAACTTTTTTTCTGAAATTGTGGTCCTCAATGCTCTGCAACTTCGTTCTTCATCTGGCCTATTTTTTCTTTTGGTAATTATTTGGGAAAATATAAATCGTACGAATGGTTAAGTTATTGAGTGAACAGTAATTAAAGATCTTTTTGAAAAGTATTGCTGCTCTTTAAAAGGACCTTTTAACATCAATTTGATGCATTAGTTGATTTTTTCTTCATCCTTATCGCTGCTTTATTTTTGTAAGTTGTCAAGGACTTCTTGTAGTTTTCTACTCTCCATTTCGTCAGCTTCCTTTAATATTCTATACTGGTTGCTTAGCATATAGATCTCATACGACAATCTCTGCAATTCTAGTAGGCACACCCATCTGTAATTGATGTCTTAACATTTACAAACCCAATCAAAACCTATTTAAGCACTAGTCTTAGTAAAATAAATAAAAAGGTAAAGTGTTGTTTTTGTCCAGCTTAGAAAGACAAAATTTCCCCTTTCATAATTTTATGAAAATATTAGTCACTTGTATTTGTTTGTTAAAACATGATAACAAGAAAGGAGAACGTGAACTTGACAGAATGGCAAAGTAGACCCCAAAAGAAAAACATGATTGTAAAATAAAGAATAAAAAAATAATAGAAAGCAAAAATCTATACAGAACAATAAAAAGCTGCCTTTAATCATATAAAGACATATTAATGCTCAAATAGATACTATAGTTTAATCTAAGACAACTGTGTTATAGTAGACTCAGGTTTAATTTAGACGTCAACAACAAATGATTTACATAAAATATATGTCTCTGCCTTACATGATATGTGTACGTCTTTGATCTCACGGAGGTAAATTCAGCAGATAAGGTCTAAAGGTATGTGGTTGACCGTTTGGTTAAATGATGTTTAAAAATGCATGTAAATGATAGCGTTCTTTATATCATTGTATGTGATATATCTGACCTGTTAACAAGTTGCTGTGGTCAAGTCAAGTAAAACTTAGCCAATTTGAAGACTGTAAGATAACGTACACGTAACATATAATTATTAACATAAGCTCTGATGATCTTGAGAATTGACATAAACACATATACATGATCATATTTTTAAAGAAAATGCCACTGGTCTTTAATTTGCTTTACCATGATTCCAGGACGGATGTCAAGTTGGTTCAATATTCAACATTCAACATTCATTATTCAATTTTTTTAGGCAATTAAGCTGCCTTATGCTAGAACAGCAGATTTGCTTTTTCCCAACGAAAGCTGAAATAGGTGCCATTGACATTATCTAGAAGTCTTGTAGGTTGTTTAATAACTAATTGGACATTTTTTTCATACTTTTAATTCTGGAATACAATAAATATGGCCAGAATAACCTTAAATGATTGGCGAAAAAACCCAAGATAATTGACGTTGCACATATGGAAAAGTGCTCAACACAAATTCGTACATTGTTTTATTCCCACTGCTTTTGGTTAAGATGTTAAAGAACAATTGTATGAAATATTTCATCGCCGAAAATGTCTAAATACAAGTCGTTTACATTTGCCAAATGACAACAGGCGCAGGAATATTGTTTGGCGGTAATTTTAACTTGGAAGACGAAAAGTAAATATCAAGGATTTATAACTAACGTCCTTGTAAATTTGGAGGATTCAGATGATATAAAGGTAAATATTATTTATC